GAGGTTTCACTCTTCAGAAGTGGTGCTCAAACAACGCAGAGTTCTTAAAACAATTTGAACCCTCTGAAAGAAGTTCTCAAGTACACCTAGATATAAAGATAGATGGAACAATACGGGCACTAGGCTTACAATGGGACATGGGAAAGGATGTATTTAAATATAGTCTTCACTTACCTTCTATGGCTGCTACTGTAACTAAAAGAACAATCCTAGCCGACATTCAAAGATTATTTGATCCACTTGGCTGGTTAGCACCTTCTATATTGCCTGCAAAATTACTCATCCAACATTTATGGATACAAGGAATTTCATGGGATGAAGAAGTTAACCACTTAATTGCAGAAAAATGGAGAAAACTGCGAGAAAGCTACCAATACTTACCTGAGGTAGAGATCAACCGATGGCTGCATACATCTGAAAATGTAATGAATAATGTTACCGTTCATGGTTTTTGTGACGCATCTACTCAAGCATATGCTGCAGTTGCTTACTTAAGAGTTCAAACTATAGATGGATTGGTTAAGACAGAAATAATTGCAGCGAAAACACGTTTAGCTCCTATCAAACCTCAATCCTTACCTCGTTTGGAGCTTAACGGGGCTGTACTCCTGGCGGGACTCCTGAAAAAAATAAAGGAAGCTATGAAAATACCTACCTGTCAAATATTCGCGTGGACGGATTCCACCATAGTACTCTCTTGGCTTTTGGGAGATCCTGCAAGGTGGAATACATTTGTGAGAAACAGAGTTGTTGAGATATTAGACAACATTGGCAACCAGAACTGGTATCACGTCCAATCACAAGACAACCCTGCTGATGCAGCTTCTAGAGGGAAGCACGTGCTAGATCTGAAAGGTGATAAAATGTGGTGGAACGGTCCTGAATGGCTAAGCACAAGTAATATTAAATACAGCAGACCAGCAAACATAACAACGAACCTAGAAAGAAAGATCATATCAGTACAAGTGAATCTAAAACAAACAAACGAAAGTTCTAGTATAGCTACTAAGTTTAACAGATTTGATAATTTAACAGAACTATTAAAAGTTATAACATATTGCAAAAGATTCTTCAAAGGAAGGGAATTGGAAAATAAGGCAACTACAATAACTACAACAGAATTAGAAGAAGCTTTAAAAACATGTATAAAAATTGTACAAAGGGACACATTTGAAGAAGACATACAAAACCTAAAATCAATAAAAAGGGTAAAAAATTATAGTAAAATAAAGTCTCTTTTACCTTACCTGGATGATGAAGGTATCCTCAGGGTGGGCGGCCGATTACGTCACTCTGACCTTGATGAAAATTGCAAACATCCTATTATATTAGACAGCGAAAATCACTTGAGTGCACTTATAGTATCTGATGCTCACTTGAAGACACTACATGGTGGAACGCAATTGATGCTTGGATATTTAAGATTAAAATACTGGATCCTGAAATCAAAGAAATTGGTAAAAATTAAAATTCGCAATTGCCTCATATGTGCCAAGCAAAACGCTGTAGCTAAATCACAATTAATGGGAGACTTACCTCGTGTAAGAATTACGCCTGCTCGACCCTTTCTACACAGTGGAGTAGACTTTGCTGGCCCTTACCAAATCCTGAGATCTAAAGGTAGAGGATTTAATACAATTAAGGCTTACATAGCAATCTTTGTTTGCATGTCAACGAAAGCCATACACCTAGAATTGGTTGGAGACCTTACCTCGGAGGCCTTTATTGGAGCTTTCAGAAGATTTGTAGCAAGAAGGGGAAGATGTGCACATCTCTGGAGCGACCAGGGAAGAAACTTCGTAGGTGCCAACAAAGAACTTCTAGCAGCTTGGGCAGACGCAAAGATGAAGTTTGAGGGTCATATTTCTGAAATGTTAGCATTAGATGGCACACAATGGCATTTCATACCTGCCTATAGTCCTCACATGGGCGGATTATGGGAAGCAGGTGTCAAATCAATGAAATACCACATGAAAAGAATATTGACTTGCAACCTAACCTATGAAGAAATGACGACCTTACTGTGTCAAATAGAAGCTTGCCTTAACTCACGCCCGCTTAGCCCTATTGATGACTCAGACACGGACAACATACTGCCACTTACCTCAGGGCACTTCTTAATAGGCGAAGCTCCAATCAATGTACCCCACTCTGATCTAAAGAACATTCCTGTCAGTCACTTGTCACGATGGCAACATCAACAGAAGCTTCTATCAGATTTTTGGCGAAGATGGCAACAAGAGTACTTGACCAGGTTACAGCAGAGACCTAAGTGGCAAGAAAAAGTGAAGGAATTTGAAATAGGACGCATTGTTCTTATGAAATGTGACAATCTCCCTCCTGGCAAATGGATGCTGGGTCGTGTGGTGGATAAGCACCCAGGTCATGATGGAGTGACTAGGGTGTATAGTGTTAAAAGTGGTGAAAGTGTAGTGCAAAGACCAATGAACAAATTGTGTCCTTTACCTATAGATATAGACTGATGTTTTATTCTAAATCATTTATGGTTAAATTTTATTTTGCATGTATTAAATGTTCTAGTATGTATTCCCATTTACATGAAAATTGTGTCAAATAGTTTTTTTTTTTTATTTTGATTGTAATATGTCCATTACTATAAAGCTTAATGAATTTAGGGTGTTACCTTTATCAAAAATGTATGTAATCACATATATTGTATTACAAATGTCATGTAAAATTATTATATTTGGAGAATGTCTGAAACGTAACAAGTTAGATAATAAAGGACTTTATGAGTCCTTTGGTGGGCGGCATGTTCGAGCAATATTGTAATGCGTGTGTGTTGTATGTAAGATGAACAGTATACAAGTGTGAGTGAGGTCTTTAATAAGGTAAAATGTAATTTAAATGTTTAGTAGCAAATAAACCACCGTATCATTGACACCTTGTTTCTGTGATCAGTCCCTGTAAAAGTAGTGAACCTTAATACCAAAACAAATAGTGACCAGCGACCCGTAACGGCTTCGCACCGAAAGCGCCAAATATATTCGAACGAATAACCTTTGGTGACATGTTATGACTAGGGGTCGAAGGTTTTCTACCGGTTTGCTGTGTAGTTCTCCTATTAGGCTTCGTCCTAATACAACGCGAATACGCGATAGTCGCGCTATAATTGACGTTGCGAGCGTTTCCGCTTCGCTTCGCAATTTGCGCATGGCATTGACGCTAAGCATGGACCTCAGAAACTTACCAGTTTTTACTTTCTTGAAATATATGGATGACCTATTCTGTTGGTCTTGACTGCAATGAAAAGAAAATGGGTCGCAATGTGCTTTGGTGGAAGTGAGACCGATAGGTGGTGAATTTCACAATTAATACAGGTCGGATTTCTGCCTTTCACCACGCTGCCCAACGACACGACGCGATTGTCGCGCGAATGTCTATTAGGACACCTATTCGACAGTATAGGCGAATAATAGGCGAACTAAGGTCGCGCGAATAGATTTTCAAACAATTAAGTCGCGCGACGCCATCGCGCGAATGCCAATTAGGACACCTATTCGAGATCTGTATGTTTGATCGCGTGTTCGTACGAGTAAAATTCGCGCGAACTTTCGATGATCGCCCATTTGCGTTGTATTAGGACAACGCCCTATTCTATTCACAATAAAATCTTTTTGACACTTATTCTTACAGAGCATTAAGATAAGATAGCCATATGTTAACTCCAATTTATATTATAGTGTTTTCCAATGAGTGCCTACGTTATGAAGTGGTTCTAGCGTTAATCTGCAACCCTAAAGTAAAAAATAAACTTACGACTAAGAAAAGCTTAACCTATATAAAACTTCTGGACATCTCAATCTTATTCATAAAAAAAAACTAACAAAATCTTTTAAGCAAAACAAAGTAACGCAAATTTCTGGTTGTATATCAAAAGTATTAAAAATCGCATCGCATGACCAGTCGTAAACGATTTATGCACTTGCGTGTGTTAGCAACTTCCCGATCCGGGCCCCATTTTGCTAATATTAACATCTCGAACACTCGGCAATCACCGGCAATGAACGTCGTGTTCAAGTATGATCTTCTTATAGGAGGGTCATTTTATGCATGCGAAAACTTAAACTACTTGTCTAATTTTGGGATAAAGACATTTAATCTAAAAAAATGCATAAAGCAATGGTTACTGAACTAAGGTCCAATTATGTGTATCTTAAAAACTTTATTTTTGTTATTGCGAGGGAAGAACAATGCCATACATTATTTTCATATCACTTTGTCTAATAACGTATAAATTAATGTTTTGATCACTGTAACAATGAAGAAAAATTGTGATTGATATGTTGGTTAATTGAATAAACGTTGTTTTCTTTATTAAATAAATATAAAATAGAATAGTGCGATACCATGCAACTTTTTTATTTTATTTAACCGATTTATTTTATGAAATCGACTTCCTCATTAAAATAATATTTTGCCTATTTGTATGGATTTATTTTAAACTTCATTAAATTTGCATCCATTCCATTAAAGTTTAACAAATGACCACTGCTGAACATAGGGTGCCTACACTCGGCATGCTCGTTGGCAACCGCAGTTTTTTTATTTGTATTTAGTTGTTATCAAGAAGATTCTGCTGTATTCCTGAAGTTAATTTAAAATAAAATACTTTGTGTAATATTTACCATGTACCCTCTTAATAATTTATTCTCTTCATTAGTGCTAATGCTATATATTTCCTTTGTCTAAATTTACACTCGTATTATGGATCGATGACGATACAATAATTTAATAACTTTATCCTAGCAATCTGATCAGGATCACCAAGATAATTCTCTCTAGAATCATCACTGTTCATGATCAATGCGTGTTTATTTTAAGTTTTCTTAAATTCTAATATTATTTTAATAATTGAGTGTGTATTTATATGAATATTATATTTTCGAGATAAGATTTATGTTTATATTTTAGAGATATTGTCATATTTAATGTCTGTTGTTGTTATTGTATTTTATATTATTCAGAAATATTTTTAGGTATGTGGGGTATATCGAAGGCACCTCACCAATCATACTTATCAGAGATCCGGAAGTAATCAAGCATATTACGGTCAAAGATTTCGATCATTTTGTAAACCATAAAATGTTCTTTCCTGAAGATATTGAGCCATTGTTCGGCGACAGTCTTTTAATGATGAAAGGTATATATTATTATATTAATAGAAAAGGCTTTATCATCATCACAAAAAAGGTTTATTATAATATTAAAGAATTTATGGATGATAATAACCACTGGAAATGAGGTGATCGCTACCAAGCTCTTTCTAATTTGTTGTGTTGTTAATTTGTGTAACATACATGATTGTAAGCTATTATTTTTTAAAAAAAGTCCCGCTAGGTTTCATGCTGGTTCTTCCCAGGACAGAGGTTTTTTTTCGAAACAGTGGTAATTAAACATAAGAGTGACTTTCAATAAGTATTATTTATAATCTATATTGAAATAAAAAGTTTCAGTTTCTGTTTCTGTATTATCATCATCACCACAGCCTATCAAAAGTCTCCTTCTGAACATAGGTCTCTCTCAGAGATTGCCACATGAGGGGAATATTAGTCCAACTACGATTATGAACAAGGTTTGGAAGGCGGAATATGAACCACAGATTTCCATTATTTCGAGTAGAAAATACTACTGCCCATCTCCTGTTTTATTTTCATCTGTCGCCTTTTATAAAACCTATGTGATGTTATATAGTAGTAAATGTTCTAAACATTACACAGGTAAACAGTCTTTATATAATTAATAATTATGTGACTGATAACATTTTTATTTCCTTGAACTTAGGAAGTAAGTACGTACAGTGTAATTTCAGTGTATAAGTAAAAAATGTAATTCCTAAACTAGAGCACAGTATAAATATATAGTAGGAACAGTACGGAAACTACCTACAAACGCTCGAAAAGGCACATTCACACAAACATGTGCAACGATGATACTTCTAACCTTCTAAGCGCTCGTCGCGGTGCTCTCAGTAGCGAGTGTCGCGTCAAGACTTTTTAAAAATGCCACGAACTCATTGCGTAGTATACGGCTGTGTTGTATTTTAAGCTTCCTGTTGATTTTGAAAGGTAAGAATGATTTTTATTCTCATTTTTATAATCGTTATCGAATTAAAGTCCGTGTGATCGATCATAATGAATTCGTGAACTTATTTGTAAATCCAGAATGCGGCGGTTTTGAGGCTATTTAAAGCTGATAGTGCAATAGTGGTAAAAAAAAGTAAATCTAATATGGCGGCTAATAAAATCTAATAATAGGTATCGTTTTTTTCGTCATGGGTGCCATTTTCATGGGTTTTGAGGGTGTTGAAGCCGATAGTGCTGTCAAAATGTAAATCCAAGATGGCAGCTGCTATAAGTATCAATTTTTTTTGTCATGGGTGTCATATTTATGGTTTTCGAGGGTGTTGAAGCCGATAGTGCTGTCAAAATGTAAATCCAAAATGGCAGCTGCAATAGGTATCAATTTTTTCGTCATGGGTGTCATTTTGATGGTTTTCAAGGGTGTTGCAGCCGATAGTGCTATCGAAATGTAAATCCAAGATGGCGGCTGCAATAGGTATCAATTTTTTCGTCATGGGTATCATTCTTATAGTTTTTGAGTATTTTGAAGCCGATAGTGCTGTAGAAATGTAAATTCAAGATGACGGCTGCAATAGGTATTAATTTCTTCGTCATGGGTGTCATTTTCGTGGTTTTTGTGGATGTTGAAACAGATTTTTCGTTGTAGCTTTAAAAAAGAACACATAAACTGCAAAGTAGCTGATCTAATTTACAAAAAAATATACAAAATCGTTTTCATAGTGTCCTTGTTTCCCAACAGTTTATTTAAAAAAAAAACTTGTTCATTAGAATGAGAATTTTTTTACATAATTAAATTCAATAATAAAGAATTCCGAACTTGTCGTAGCAGACGAAAATATTTTTTCCTGTAAATAATTTGTAATAATGAAGAATAAATGTACGTTTTCGTCCAACCGCGGCTCGCGTACGCTCCCGCCGAAACTTGTAAAAGGTTAGGACGCCGTAATGACAAAGTTAAAGATCTATAGTTCTACAAGTTGTTGTGTGTTAATATTAAATTGTTTTCCGTGCTTAAATTATCGTCTTTTGCTGAGATTATCCGACGCTATGAGATTCCCTATTTAAATTGTATTTGTAAGCTAGTTAATATTTAAATTCGATTGATTGATAACTACAGAACAAACATGTAAAAAAAAAACAATATCAAAAACATTAAAAGTTACAACCCTATTGCTTTAATGGAGCGTAGGTAATTGTGTCCTCAACTAGGCTTTGTTTCCGTTTTATATTTATACTGTGACTAGAGGTAGATGTGATAATATTATCTGCATATAAATACTTTTTATCTCATTATAAGTTAATCATTGTATGTTCTTCTTTATACCGAAGTTTATAGAAAGTAACTGATAATGGCGATGATGAAATCCGAAACAAAACGATTTAATATTTGCCTTTATTAGGGCAGTATATTGTGGTGACAGTTAGGATGCCTCCTATAACAATATTTTTATAAGTATTTAAATATTTATTTGATAATATTAATAGGTCAGTAAATTAAACATTATTTCAACTTGTTTTTCATTGCAAGATTGTTTGTCTAATTGTCTAATAAACAAATGGCAAGATATACTTAAGATATATTAGTGTTAAAGATACTTAAAACGTAAATATTATTAAAATGTAATACATTAATAAAACATAATGATAAATAATCCATTGACGTAAAAATATTATGTTAAATAACATATTTTATTTAACTTATCTTTTTAGTACACAGGACAAATAAAGTGAAATACTTCGTTACTATTTTATTTATATCATACTTTAATACTGTACAATTAACATCTCAATTTCATGTACATTTTAATTTTATTTGTGCTGATTCAAAAATCAAAAAAACCAGATGACAGATGGCGGGACATGCGAGCAACGCTAAGTCCGGCTTTCACAGCATCTAAAATGCGTCAAATGTTGCCGTTCATGGCTGAAATTAGCGACAACATTATACAATACTTGAAAGGTAAGTAAATTTTAGCATATATCACTAAAAAAAGAGAAATTATCAATAGCAAATTAAAAGAAAATGTAATAAAAATATAGTAAAAGGAACGAAAATACCGATAGTGGGAGAAAGAAATTAACTCAAAACAGTCTTTCAGGTAACGGTGAGGGAGGGATTAAACAGTAACGCTATAAAGAGAATGGATGTGAGTGTTCTTGCAAATTCGAAACGGTAGGCTCTTGAGATTTTAGGAATTTCTAAAATGTCATCTTATTTGTTAAATATAAAATTAACTTAACTATGCTTAGGTAATGTCAAGATAGCAAATATAGGCAGAAGTAGTGACTGAGTAAACGCAACTTTAATAGCAGTGGGAATAAAATTAACAAATCTCCGCAGAGAACTTAGAACTGAAAATATATCCTACTTACTTCATTAATCTGCAGATTTTATGTCAGACATGAGTCAATATTCCTTGATTATTAACTTTATCATGCGAGAACTATAGAGAAGAATAGGTTGTAATTAAAAAAGACATCCACATCAACTGATAGTTCTAGAACTACCAATAATTATTGCTTGAGTTTTTATAGGATTAATGCAGAATCAGACAGAACCAGCGTGATATCAGGCACAAGATCATCGGCTTTACGTAAAACACTACCAACTTCCTAACTCCAAACTGCTACTGAAAATTCTTGAAATTAAAGTCGAATAACTGATTCGAACTCAGTACTACATGATCTAAGGTCGCGCTTACGATCACTAGACCAACGACGCAGTCACTTGACTTACAAGTACTTAAATATACTCTCAGAGACTAAGCAAGTAACTACAAAACCAGTCAAATACAACGTTAGATATGCCGAGAGAGCGTAATATATTCAACAAAATATTAAAATCAGAAACAAAGATAATATTGTCATTAAAAGCACTTTACATTACACACTACTTGTGTGTAAAAGGTGACAAAATTATTGTTTATTGACCACAATCGATTTCATATTATTGAATCTCTGATTTTTAACGATAAATAACTTATCTCTGGAACAGTTCCTAAAGTTAGTCCTCATGTATTTCTTTAATATATTTACCAACTAGCTGTTCCTCGCGACTTCGCCCGTGTGTTATTTGGGGTTTTAATTTTTTTTTGCGCGGAACCCTTATTCTTTTTTCCAAAATAAAAGTAGCCTAATTTACTCTTTGTGACATCAGCTATCTGCCAGTGAAAATCCCGTTAAAATCGGTCCAGCCGTTTCGGAGAATAGCCGGAACAAAGATAGACAGAAGGACAGACAGACAGACAGACAGACAGACAGACAGGAACTTTAAAAATTGTATTTTTATTATTAGTACCGTATATACTTTCATATGCATTTAGTACAAAGCGTAGTAATTTTGACATTACAAACAGACACTTCAATTTTATTTATTTGTATACAAGTATAGATGTAGAATGAAACGAATGTATGAAGAGCGTTTGTAACATTTTAGACACATTCGCATGAAATTGGTATTTTGTAAGAACACCTTCCGACAACCTTCAATTTGAATGAACTAGTATTATTGTGAATATATCCGGCAATTATTACATTTAATATCAATTGCTACTTAGTTGTTGTTTTAGGAATTTAATAAAGTTATTTTTCATAACATTTAAAAGGTATAACTGTAATTTGTTTGATGATGCTTCAGTCTTGCGTTTGTATTTAAATTGATTTGACTTTTTGATTGATTTGACACTAGTATTGGTATCAAATATAAAACATTATACACGTATGAATTACTATATACTGTTACAGACTATCAAAAAGTTCACATATAAACATAGGCCCTCCCGATATGTTGCTTCATAGGATGGTCGTATGCCATTATTGCTACGCTTGGCAAGCGGGTTGGCAAACGCAGTTTTTAATTTTAACTTGTAGTGGCGGTGTAAGAATATACACTATCCATATCATCCCGTGGATGTCGTAAGAGGAAACAGAGGGATACAAATCAGGAGCTTCGCAGCAGCGTCATCCTAATAACATAAATAGTATAGTAAAAATATATTATTTTGAAAGTAAGAGGCCTGGAATCTGTATTTTAACGCAAGAATGAGCGTAAATAAATAACATCATACATATGAAACGATCATGATGAGATGATCACCGTGCCAAGACCCCGCTGCCTTGTTTGTTTCCCTCTGTTGCCTTTTACGAAACCCACGTGATGATATGGATTTTTTTATAGCTTATAGGTAACAAACGATCACACAGTCCAACTCATGGTAAGTGGTTGCTGTGTTTGTCGATATTCTTATATCGTCACTATACGATAGGTAGTAAATTACCATATAGTATTACAAAATTCGACTACCAAGTAGAGTTGTATTGTTACACTATGGAAAAGTCTTATTATCTTCCGCTATCGTAAAGCTGGAATGTATTGTATGTGGTGGTAAAAGAATGTTACTTTAGTCTACGATAAATACAACATTCAAAACTTAAATTAACATAACTTAATATTTAAGCCAACATTAACAAGTACGGTATTGTAAGGCTGTTAAATAAATTATAAGAACATCGTTCAATTCTAAAATAAATTGTTTGACCTACAATTTTAGATCACATCTCGGAAGACATCGACGTCAGCGATGTGATACGTCGTTACACAAACGATGTCATTGCTTCTTGCGCATTCGGATATCAAGTAAATTCCTTAAAGGATAAGGATAACGAATTTTACACAATGGGCCAATCGCTTTTTAATATGAGTACTTGGCAGAGACTTAAATTATTTTTTATAACAAATATTCCGAAAGTTGCAAGGGTAACTATTAATTTACTATTGGCAAAATAAGAACAAACAATCTATGTAAGATATTGGAAAAAGAAAAATAAATAACACACGTAAAATTTTCAGTTACTGGGATTCAATGTCTTTTCTGGGAAGTATTCAGGATTTTTTGATAATTTAGTGAAAACTACAATTGAGCATAGACAAAAACATAATATTGAAAGACCAGATATGATCCAGCTCCTTATGGAGGCTTCTAAGGGTAAAAGTTAATTTAATAATTATGAATAATGACAATCTTAATAAGTATTAAAGTCTGTATTTTAATTTAATCTTAACAGGAAATTTGAAAACAGAGAACGTGGATATAAAAGACGACATTGTTTTCGAAGCAGAAAAGCTTAAGCAGCATGGAGATGTTAAACGTAAGTTGACTTATTTTAATATATTTCTAATAAACTAGGGACTTGATCTACTTTCCTGTCGCCAAACAGTAGTGTGGATACTGCTGTGTTCCAGTCTGGATCTTAGTCTCTGCTTAAGGATCGTGGGTTCGAATCCATCACTACTAACTAAACTTTATTTCATGTCATGTGCAAGCACTGTTGCGCGCGCCAATTTGTTTGTTACTATTCCCCCTGCTCTCACCGCGCAATGTTCTCCAGTAAACAAAACCGGAGTGAGTTTTTCATATATAATTTGAAATTGTAGATGAGTGGACGGCAATACAGTAAAAATCCCCTCTTTACCATTATAAAAGGCAAAATAAGTAAATATATAAATAAATATCATTTCAAAATGGCATGAATGCATTTTTGTAGATTAAAAAATATGACTACGGTTCCATCTTGTGGTAAGCGGTGATGAAGCCCTAGATGATAAATCTTCCTACCTTAGCAAAACAGGAGTCTATCCATTCTTGCCTTGAAGACATTTAGATTGTAAAAAAAATAAAAATAAAAAATAAAATGATATCGGGACGTCCATCACCTCAGTCCCCCGTGACCATGGGTGCTGAAAAGCAGCCGAAACGTCGGGAATTGATAAAAATAAGAAAAAATAACTTAATTAAACGCGATAAACTCCGTAAAATTAGTTTTATTCAATAAAATTATTACTAAAATTCCTGGTGATAAGCGTCGATGAAGCCCTAGACGGTAAATCCTACTATCATAGCTTAAGAGAAGTCTATTCACCCTCGCCTAGAAGACACTCGGATTGTAACTGTACAGAAAGACAGGCACCGGTAAATAAATTTACTCCTCAGCTTCCTTAATGTTAAGGGTAATGATGATTATTTATAATTTTTTGTATATCTTTTTCAGAATGGTCTCCAAAGGAATTATCAAGTCAGGTGTTCCTTTTCTTCTTTGCTGGATTTGATACTTCTGCTACAGCTTTGATTATGTGTATCCATGAACTGGCAATTAATCCCAAAGTACAGGATAAATTGTACGAAGAAATCAAAGAGTTTAAAGATAAAAACAGCAGCGTGGTATTTGAGAACATGAATGAGTTGAAGTATTTAGACGGCGTCATAAATGGTCTTTATTTGCTTTAAATTTACCAAACTTAGATTTCATAATGTTGCCTTGCCATCATTCAGTCTTTTTCATTCGGAATATGTGGTCCAAAAGCTAGAGTTAATAATGCTAATGTCATCCAGACCGAATTTTAGTCACGGCCACGACCAGTTTCTAGCCATCTGCGCAGGAGAGGATTATAGTGCCCGAGTGTATGTGCAAGCGCAAGTGCACTCTCTATTCCCTCACTCTCATAGACCGATGAGACGGTTATCTGTTACTCACCGGCTTTACGTACTTTTCGAGGCACGAGAGTGAAACACCGCCAACTTCCTGACTCAAGGCTGCTACTGCGAATTTATTACCGGGATTCGAACCCGGAACTTCATGATCAGCAATAACGTTTACGAACACTAGACCAATGAGGCGATAAATATTATTCATGTATGTAAATTAGTTGTTTTGTCTAGCATACCGCTGGGAAAAGCAAATGCGCCATCTGGGTGCTCATACTCAATACGCTTGGCAACTGTGTTATAATATCCCTGCTGTACCCTGCAATAACCTTGCACTCTTCAATGTTGCTCCCTATTACAAGGCTGAGAATTTAGTTCAGTTGAATTCCTAACAATGTTTTTATTGTATTTTTATTAGAAACGTTTCGCAAGTGGGCACCTGGTTTAGTAATTGATAGAGTGTGCACTAAGCCTTATGAATTACCACCACCTCGGGAAGGTGGAAAACCATACAAAGTAAGTTTCTTTTAATGTTATATACTCTTGAATAAAATTAATTAAATATTCTTCGGATATTTTATAACATTCCTGAATTGTGCTTACTTTTCATAAATGCAGTTACAGCCAGGAGATGTCGTTTACAATGTGATGAACTCCATTCACATGGATCCAAAATACTATCCAGACCCAGAAGTATTCGATCCTGATAGATTTTCAGACGAAAGGAAACATGAGATGACACCCTTTACATTTATGCCGTTCGGTACCGGTCCGCGTTTTTGTATTGGTAAGTTAAAATTAAACTAGTCACAGTGAGCGTAGACTGAATAAACAATAAAAGATATTCTTTAGCTATTTTACGCTGGTATTATGTGAAAGCGTGATCCTACCCCGGTCACTTTCGAAACACATTCGTGCTATAACCATAATATAGCTGCGGCATGGCTACGTTCAAAATCTGTTGGATATGGGTCTATATATTAGTACGTAAAATCTACCTTACCGTGTAGGGGCGGTGTAAGAATATCCAATACTTTCTTGTGGGTGTCGTAAGAGGTGACAGAGGGAAACTGAAACAGGAGATGGGCCAACATGGGAGGGTTGCCAAGCTGACTGCCAAGCGTGGCAACTATGGCAAAATATCCACTAGGAGGAAATTTTTGTGTGAGGTCTATGTTTAGCAGTGGATTTTTATAGGCTGTAATGGTACTAGTAAGATCGCAACTACCAAAATAGCTACCCTATTTAAATGGAGGCTCGCACCTTCAGCGCTGTTCCTCGTGACCGGAATTAGTATGATACTTCTTGCATAAATGGGATGCTTACATATATATATATATATATATATATATATACATATTACAATCACACCATAGGGTTTTAGTTGGTGCGAGTCGACCTAACCAGTACTTGCCTTCGCGAGACGTGTATGCGTAGGCATTTCCCCATGAAAAAAAAAGAAACTGTCCTGTCTAATCAATTAATCTTCTTTTATATTATTCTGAGCCAGCGCTTAACTACAATCCCACCTGATGGCGAGTGGTGATGTAGCCTAAATTAGTGAAGCGCACTGTCTTAACAAAAACTTATTCAATCTTGCCTTGAAGACACATTGTATCGGATATTGGATGGATACCCAGATGCTGTCAACTTATTCCACTCTTATGATGTACGCATGAAGAACGATGTAGCAAACCATTTGGTTTGAATGCGTGGTAAGTCAACAACAAAGGGATGGAGACTGGCCGAACGTCTGGTTGTCCGAAGGTGGAAAGGAGAGGGAGGAATTAAATTATGCAATTCCTGCGCACACTCTCCGAAATGCATCCTGTAGAAAACCGAAAGGCTGGTTAATTTGCGCCTGTCTTCGAGGCTGATAAAATTATTTTTAGGCAATTCGGGTCACCAATAAGCCTCTCAGCACGAATTTTCATTGATTCCATAGTTGCTAGGTGGCATTTTGTAGCACCAGCCCTTACATGGCAGCAATATTCCATGCACGACCGGACTTGCGCATTAGATAAAGTAAGCAGCTGTCCCGCACGCACAGCACAGCGTGCAGTATCACCGCACCTTTGCGAGGACTCCTAGCTTCTTCTGCTTTGGGCTTGGACTCAATGAATCGCCCCAAGTTCAGATTAGAGGATATCTCAAGCCCAAAAACTGAAGGCGGTCGGTGTATTCTAGTGATACATTTCGGAAATTGCAGATACGTTGCCGGCCTTTTAAAAAGGAGTACGCTTTATTCTTGAAGGTCCCTAAGTCGTATCGGTCCGGAAAAATCGCTGATGGTAATAGATTCCACAAAGAAGTCGTGCGAGGAAGAAAACATCTTCTAAATCGCACAGTGGTGGACTGCCAATCATCCAGATGGTGTGGATGGTATCGGGAGTTCTGCCGCGATGTGCGTTCGTGAAATTTGGCGGCTGAGATTAATCCGAACAATTCCTCAGAGCACTCCCCATGGTAGATGCGAAAGAAAATGCAAAGGGATGCAACATCTCTTCGCAGTGCCAATGGATCGAGCCGACCTAAAAGGACTCGGTCGTCGAGGATTCGAGCCGCTCTGCGCTGGATGCGGTCAGGTGGAAGGAGCTGGCACTGGGGAGACCCTGCCCAGAGATGGGAACAGTATTCCATGTGAGGTCGAACCTGCGCCTTGTAAAGTTGCAGGCGGTGTGCCGGCATGAAATACTGTCCCGCTCTGCTGAGCACGCCAAGCTTTTTAGAGGCCAATTTGGCCTTCCCTTCCAAGTGATCACGAAACTGCACGTCACTCGATATGTCGACTCCGAGGATTCCGATACTGGTTGAGGCAAGAAGGGGAGTGCCTTGAAACTGAGGGGATACGTCAAAGGGGTTCTTTTAGCGGTAAACGCGCAAACTTGTGTCTTCTGAGGATTAAACTGGACTAGATTTAGTCGCCCTCAATCCGAGACTTTGTTCAGCAAAGACTCGACTTCAGACACAAGTTTGTTCCGGTACTCGGCGACGTTTTCCCGAGAAATATTGGCACGGCCGGTGTATAGAGCATCACCAGTGCTGTCATCCGCATAGCAATGAATGTTACCAGTTAGCAACATATCATTGATATGCAGAAGAAACAGCGTTGGTGATAGCACACAGCCTTGTAGAACACCAGCGTTAATAGGCTTGTAGTCAGAACATGCACCGTCTACAACGACCTTGATGCTCCGATCTGCAAGGAAGCTGGTGATCCAATTGCACAATTTCTCGGGAAGCCCATAGGAAGGGAGCTTCAAAAGAAGCGCTTTGTGCCAAACCCGATCGAAGGCCATTTTGGCACTATTCCATTCCTAAATGAGAGGCGGAACAAGCCTTTAGAACTATAACTGGTATACCATCTGGTCCACTAGCTTTATTCACGTCTAGACACAGCAAGGTTTTAAGAACCTCCTTATGTGTTATACGGACCTCGGACATAGAGGTCCTGCTGTGAGGTAATTTAGGTGGAACGTTGTTGCCACTGTCCGTACGTGAATTGTAGGCAAAGAGAGACGTGAACAAGTCCGCATTCTCTTTAGCTGTATGCACCTATGAGCCATCCGGTTTTACCAGCGGAGGCAGTGTAGGCCGACAAAAGTTTGTATGGCCAGAGACCAAAAATTCCTAGTGCCGGATGGTTTGGCAGAGAATTTTGTGCCAATATGCTTAATGCGGTCGATACTAGCTTTCTGTACTACATTTTTGTAGGACTTGGCGGCCTGGCTTTGCAGTTTTGAGCGTCCACCAACCTAAATCTAAATACTTTATTCTAGGTGCCAGATTTGCGTTGATGGAGCTAAAGGTTCTACTTTATCACCTCATTTTAAACTTTAAGATTTTAAAGTGCAAGAAGACAGTGGAACCGATTATTCTAAAGCCAGAAGATCTCAATATAAGAGCTTTAGGAGGGACATGGGTACGTCTAGAGAAGAGAAACTAGACAAGCTATGCTTATTAACTTGTCAAAATATCCTATAATTTTTTGATAATAACGATTTTTTTCTAACATTAATGTATTCCTTAAATGTATAAAATACTATTAATTAAATAAATGTTACGTAACATAAAATGCGTTTTTAGTTAAAAAAGGACGTTACCCTCACATTAGGATTTTCTACTGTATCGCAGGGACAGTTTACATACATAGAACAGACCCAGAACAATTATTTATAGGCCATACAAATATTTGTTCCATCCGGAATTCGAACCCGCGGCCCTTAGCACTGCAACTCATTACTCATTTTCACATTTGCTATTTACAAACATGCGACACGCGAGGGCATTATTATTGATTATTATTACTTTACCAGTATATGCTGATCTTGCATTAGTAGGCAGTCACTAGTACTGGGAGGTCTACACTGAAGGATTTTTAAGGTCATTGGCATTATACGTGAAAAAATTGTAAACGGCGAAGGTGTGGTCGGATCGCTAATCGAATAATAAATCGTTAACTATAGCGTCGGTAACTAAATACCTATTATCTAGATCTACCTATGAATAATAATATATTACCTTTCGGTATCCTTAGGAACAGTAAAGAATGAAAAGTCGACATTCCTATTATCATTTAAGCAACCACATGCTATGCAGAACCTTTTGGTTTTTTGAGAGGCCATTTTTGTATAAAAACTCCAAAACAAAAGTGGCTAAATACTTATAAGAGAAAATACTTTTTGTTAACGTAGATTTGAGCGGGCGCGTGACAACGTGTAGGGGACCACACACCGTAGTAATATTTACATGCTTAAAGCGCGGAGTGAGACAGGCCTGGTAATACTTTAATGACACAGGATGTATCACGAGTGTGTGCGCAAGCTCAGGTGCATTTTCTATTCCCTTACTCGATTACAAACGAAATATAGAGAGATTGGACGTGGAACCAACGTCTTTATGTGCTTTCTGAGGCACAGGGATGAAACACATCTAAAATCCTGATTCCGGGCTGTTACTCTCTTTGTTGGTAGAAAACTTAATTGATTTTGGACCCGATCACGTCTATTAAAGGTTAAGAAACTTTCCTCGGTTGTATTTAGTTTTATTTTCCATTTGTTTGCAGGATGAGACATAATATTCATTAATGTTGTTAGTGTTATTAAATACTTAACTTTAGGTAGGCATAAAAGTGTAGTTTTCATTAAAAATATTTTTAATATTAATGAAAATATGATGCCTCATACCATAGTAACAATAGTTGGTGATGGAGTTTGCTTATTTAGTGAAATATCTTATATATTGTATGCGAACCAAGTGTTGCAAATTGTGGATAACATTGTTGTGGTCATTTTGTTGTTTATATACAAATGTTGATGAAATACAAGAGTATAGTTTGCTCAACTTATTTCTTGCTTCGTTTATGGGTGTCTTAAGAGAAGACAGGGTACAGAAGGGATAGTAATACAGTACGTACGGTAGGGAAAGGAAAAATTATTTGGGCAGAAGCTTATTCCTGATAACGACTCAGAATAATGAAAAACTGCTGTTGCTGACCCGCCTACAAAGAGTGTGGCAATTATGGTAAATATTGATTTACCAAAGTTTGTCTCCGATGAGGAAATCTATGAAGGAGACTATTGTTCAGCAGTAGATCTTTGATATGGATGGATGACTTACCTTGCCTACTTCATCGTCATTAGCATAAAACTGCGATAAATTCTTGTATTCAAATGATTTTAATTACATCTATGAGTGAAACGTTTCAGTAATAAAGTGGCTAAACGTATGGTTCCGCGCTGTGGCTGCACACATACGCTTGGTCTGCGGGTTGGATCACCACATGAAACAATGGACAAAACAATGGAACACATTTGTATGACTTTAAAATAATTGTTTTGGGTCTTGATGGAAGGCTATATGCAACTTATATGTGTAAAATTCCTCCAAGATACACGAGAATTTCTAAATTTGTAATTATACATATAGGGTAGGGTAGGGTTAGGTGACACTATCTGAACTGACTGACTGACGGAAAATTATAGATTTTTAAATGTTTTTTTTTAAATTTCATATTGGAAAAAGTTTTCAAGTTAAACTTTAGAAACAAAATAAGTCGTTCTAAGATTAGGGGTCCCTACCCCTAGGGATTATTGGTTGGGGTGGCACTATTTACCCTTAAATAGCCCCAACCAATAATCCCACCAGGGGTGAGTAGTTTTAATGTAATATAATTTGGTATGAAATCCCCTATGAAGAGAATAGGCGAAACCCCTTAGTATTTGATAAAAAAATTAAAATATTATTTCACTTAGCGGCCAGCCTCCGCAGAGTCTACTGCACCTGAGGGTGCCTCGTGTAGAGGCGAAACACGTGTCGAATTTTCAAGAGTGGTGTGTCATCCCTAGTGTGGTGGTGCTGGGGATGGTAATGCTGGGATTGACGGCGACGGGTATAGTGCGCACGATTGCGGGAGGGTCAGAGGTCCCCATATAACTGGGCAGGACACATCATTTTCTTTCTTTACGCGGAATTAAGTAAGTTAATTTATAACAACCCCATCATAATGAATTTCCGCAAAGTAACGCCTAATTCTATCAATTAAATTATTTATACGCCAAAAACCAACGATGGACATCTTAGTTTAAGAAAAAGTCACAAAATTAAAACCCGAAACAAAGATTAACTAAGTTAAGTCACTCATGGTGCATCACACGTATATAATAAAATTCCTTATAATATTTTCAGCCTTTCCGGAAGAAGTTTTCCTCCTCTCCTATAAAAAAAAGAACAAAATGACAAAAAAACAGGACAGCTGCCAAGATACTTACGACGGGTTTCCTCCAGATGGAGGAACCTCATTTCGAAACGGTAGTAGATTTCTTAAATTAAAATAATGACATATGTCAAAGGAAATTTTATTTACTTACATCGATGTTATTTGTATATTATAAATATTTTTAATTTTTTTTAATTAATATATTAATATTAATTATAAAATATTAATATTATAAAAAGCCGCTATGGCGTGCATCGGAGTATTATTACGAGTATATATTCGTATCTCATCCGTACAACCTATAATTTATAAATATGGATGCTAAACAAGTTTGCAGTTTTCACATGTCGGCAGCTTACCCTGATGATGAGGCGCTACCAATTGCTTCTGATTTATAACTATTTACTTGACTTGCGTCTTTGTCTTGGCTAAAGTGTCGTATCTACAATTATACTAGAGATTGCTCTCGAGGTAAAGACACAAATTTAGTGCTAAATTATTGCAGAATTTTTAATATTCCTTCTGACTACTTTAATTTTGTATTATATTTACACTCATCAGAGTATTCTTAAATATTTCTAAGAGTGATATTTAACGTATAATTCAAGTTTACCTTTTTTCGGTAACGTATTCCAAAGTACTTTTATTAAGAGGCATATGGTTGAAAAAATTGATGCTATATACAGGGAATTTCCAAATGAAATGTAAGTAATAAGTTTATAAACAAATATTGTTCATTTAATTTTCTGACTGGTTAACGAATTATATAATATATAGCAACATTTCCACCCATTATTTAACAGTTATGTACCAGTTATGTTATTAATTTCATGTGGTTACTTAAATCATAATTAGCATTTAGTTGATATGCTATCTTAAAGCCTATTTAACAGTTAGTTCATTTAGTGTGAACTAAAGCATAAATTAGTTAAATGTAAACCATTATATAACGACCTTCAAAGTTTTCTGATTGTAGAAGATAATGTTCTTTATAAGTATAATTCTGCGAACAATCAACAAATGTCTGTAATTCTTAAGAGAATAATAAACTGAAATGTAGATTTTTGTATATCTGAGAACTGCGTTATTACAAGGAACTAGTTCACAGTTGTTATCCGATGTAAACTTTTAAATACCACCTAAAAAAACGGAATCAAAAACTTTCTTTCATCTATCGACAACCACAAACAACACTGATAAAAAGGAACAGAATGTGTATTCCTCCACAGAAAAACGCTCAACGACCTTACTATGTTTTCTACGTGTCGTTAGGTCTTCAAAACTTAACTTTTTTTTGTAATAAGTGTTAATTAAGGTGCGTTGGGGTAAGATCGGTGATGGGGCAAGACCGTAAGATTGAAATTTCCGACGAACTATGCTATATTTTTAAATGCTAGCAAAATGGTACACGACGTCATTTCATTCTGCCCCGACCCCAAGTTTCTGCCATTCGCTAGGGGAAGTAGGACGCGTGCTGAGCGGCATTTTATAAAACAAGATAATTTTTGTATTTTTTTGTCCATCCGGTTTTTCCCCCTGACTTTTATTTGTGATTTTTAGCGAGAATATAGCTTCTACTGTTATTATTTTGTCTGAATACTAAGTTTTATGAAGTTACAGCCAGATAAAATTGATTCAAAGTGGGCTAAGATCACTGTAGGCTGAGATCCGATGTTTCCCCACGCGAGTGAAGATCGGATGAATTTTATCCTATCTTTACCCGTTACAAATATGGCAGTGATTGTTAAACTTTCATATGTCGTGTATATTCTTTCGAAGATTACTCAAGTGTCTACGGGACTCAGTAGCGCTATCAAATCTATTGAACCTAAATGACCTTAATTTTTAGAATGGTTTTATTACTTTTAAATACACATTAAAAACATTGACAATTCTTCGCATTTCGCAACAATATGGTGGATGATTGACACCAAAAATTAGAATTTTCGAAACTGTTAATATGCTGCTAACTTACATCTTACTGAAATATATCGTTTTATTAAATATTACCAGCATACTTAGCTATTCATTAACTCAATAGCTTGCAACAATTGATAATTACAAAACTTATTTAGAAATAACCTTCGGAACGTTGTCTACCTATATATTTTGTGAGATGCCGATATATTTGCACTAGATGCTTCAAACAAAATGCCCTTTAAATTGCTATTCAAAGAATACAAAACTTATAAGATAACGTTTATCTCATCTCATAAAATATTTATCTC